CTATCTATCTATCTATCTATCTATCTATCTATCTATCTATCTATCTACTGCAGCCTCTTCAGACCCTGTGAGCTCCTGACAGTGTGAAGCAGCTGGGGGACACTGGGTGGGCTTATGGGACAGCTCTGAGTTCTGCACGCATCACCTGCGGATCAACATTTGAGCTATTTTTGGCACAGTCTCAGCTACCTAAAAATGTGAGGTTTTTTTTAGCAGAAAGAGTGGGAGGCGTGTGTCTGGGAACCTGTGGGTCCATGTGAATCATGAAAGCAAATGAATGGGAGAAACAGAAAATCTTCTTCTAGCATTTAGAAGCAGACCCAGCTAAGCCGTGGAAACCCCCACATATCCCAGAGGAAAAGTAAAGAACTTACTTGTAGTTCTCTGTGAAATTACTGAGAGAAAGAGGAGAGAGAGAGAGAGATCCATTTAATTTTTCTTACATAGAACCAACACAGTTACCTAATGCTTTGCTGGGGTCTGGTGTCTGTTAGGGGAATACTCAACTAAGAAGCAAGGGTTTGTTGAGAACATCTCTGTGTAGACTAGTTGCAGTTCAGATTTAGAGGGAAGATTAAGTAGCGATGAGGAAGCCAGAAGTATAGCCCCTGAAAGGCTTTCATTATTGGACTTGGACAACTTTGGGCTGAGACTTCCGAGAGACAGCTGGGGCTTTGCATCTCCGTGTACTCTGAGAAACGCCCTATGCTTAACACTGTTGCTCTCTCTCTCAAAGAGTTCTGTCTGCTTCTGCTGTTTAGTAGTTAGATTTTTTGTTGACAGATGCTAGCTCGTTACTTCTCTGCATCCTATTCTGCCGTTATGTGCAGCGCAGGCAAGCTGGGCGGGAAGGACATGGGAGGAGAGACGCAGAGCAAGTCTACCGAGTGGAAGGGAATCCACACAAGCACAGTACTTACTTATGGGTGGCGATGGGCCTGAAAAGAGAGAGCAGCTGTGAGAAGCTGGGGTGAAGGCACTTTTGTGACAGGATAGTTTGGGAGGGTTCAGCTCTAGGCTTGCATTAGGTCTCATGACTATATTCTTGGATAAACACTTGGACTCTGTTTCCTATCCTCTTCATAGGGGTTAATTAATGGCACCGCTATAGGAATTAAACAAACAAACAAAAACGATGCAACTAAAAAAATGTTAGTTCTTACAGGAGGGGCACAGGTGCCCGTCTGAGGCCAGGTGAGCAGAGTCTCCGGCACAGGTGGCGTTAGATGGCAAAGGCAAAGGGAACTGGATATGGGGGGGTATGGCTCACATATTTCCACACAGGCCTGCACACAGGGTGGGAATGGGCAGGGCACACACACAGAGCAGCAAGGAAGGAGACCAGCAGAAAACCAAGCAGTACTCACAGGCCGGTGGCGGCGGCGGGCAGCCTGTGGGGCAGAGAAGGGGCTCAGCACTTCCCTTGCCCCTGTTTGACTTCTCTGTCTCAATAAGCACCCTTTGGGCGTCTCTGACCTCCTGTGAGAGTCAGCTGAGCAGAAGGGGGCCCAGTGACATCACGGCTCCCGATATAGGAAGGTAGTTAAAGTCTATGTGCCCTCAACCCCGAGGCCTTAGTGTGGAGGTCAGAGTCCAGCTTCTGCAGTTGACTCTCTACTTCTCCCTTGGGGGTTTTGGGGTTGTATTCAGGTGTTATGTTTGTAGGACAAGTGCTTTTCCTGGCTGGACTCACTTTGTAGACCAGGCTGGCCTCAAACTCAGAGATCTTCCTGCCTCTGCCTCGCTGGGATTGTAGACATGTGCCATTGTGCCTGGCTTCCCTCTGTTACTTTATGTAAGTCAATTCTTTTATTTTTTTTCTTCCACAAAATTATTTTAAAAGTAAAAAATGTATGGGTGATGTGAAAGCAGATGCCAAGGAGGCAGCAGCTCTCAAGCTACCGAGTCGGGGACCCTTAGATATCACGGTATCAAATGTGGACAGTCAGACCCAGGAGGTCAGAGCATCCTCACAGCGGTGTTTTTCTCTTTCTGTAGTCAGTCTCTTGTTGATAATTATGTGAAATTTTAGAACCCAGTTCTTGTCCTCCTTATCTGTCTGTATATCGGTTCAGTTCTAACTTTGCAGTGTATTGTTAATAACCCAGGCAGATTTTGATCATGAATTCTACAGTGACCAGATAAAGACTCCTAGACCCCAGCGTGGGAAGCTGAGGGGAGGGGAAAGGGAGAGAAGGGGAATAAGGGCACACTTACATATTGCCTGAGCCTGCATCCCTTCTGAAAGGCAAGTAGAGAAGTTGATTATTTGCTTGCTCTACAGAGACAGGGTCTGAGTCCAGGTTCACATAGAACCTGAGACTCCTGTCTCTGCAGCCCAGGCACGGGGCTCACCACTACAGCAGGCTCACCCTTGTATGCTAGTTCTCTGTTCCCTTCCCTCCCCACTCTAGGGGCTGAACCTAGGGCCTCAAGAATGTAGGCCAGTGCTTTGTCACTAAGCTGTATTCCTGGCCTCCTCCTTCGCCCCACTCCTAGCCCCGTTCTCCCACGTTTTTGCTTTTTATTTTGAGACAAGGTCATGTTAGTTTGCCCAGACTTGACTCTCCCTTAGTCTGTAGTCCAGCTGGGCCATGAGGCAGGCAATGCTCTCGCTGTGCCTCCTAAGTGGCTGGGCTCACAAGCCTGAGCCACCAGCCTCATTTCTGCTTTCTTCCTGGCTGGGAACTTTCCAGGTGGTACAAACACTACATCAATAAAGGCATTTGAGGCTGTCAGAGAACTGAGGACCACGATGTGGAATTCCAGACAGTGGAAAAGCCGAAGGCTCAAGGAGATGGGAATTTTCAGTTCCTTTGTGAAACTGCCAGGTCTCATGGGTATTGTGGGGCTCTGAGAGGACACAGCAGGGACAAATGGCACACTGGCCAGCTGTGGAGATGGCCCAGCTGGAAAACAGGAATATGTATTATTTTTCCTCTCATCCATTTCTCCCTTTTGTATAAGTTCCTGATTCAGAATCTACAGAGCTACAGGGAAACTTTTCCCTTTGATCTTTAAATTTCAAGTAAGTCAAGGCACATTGTAGAAGTTTGTTGATAACCTAGTAGAATTATAAGGGTCAAGGAATTAGAGCTTTAAGCTAGTGGGTCCTGACACGGATGGAGAAATTTTGGTTCAAGGTTTTTTCAACATTCCTGGAGAGAGTTGGGTTTAGTTTTGAAAGGAGGAGGCCAGACTTACCGTTGGAATCCTCAGCTGAAAAAGAAAGGCAGAAATTAGTGAGACCAGTGTGATGACGGGGCGGGAGGGACACAGCACCTGCTAGGGCGTGACTAGAGCGCTCCTGTCTCCCCAGGGTTGGGGGTGCTCATCTCTCCCATTTTCAGTGGCTGTCCCCTGCTTACACTCTCGGCTTGACAGGGCACTAGCCCATGCTGCCTTCATCTTTCTCCTACTTCTGCTGACCTGTGCCACCTTGATTCATATCTACAGCCTTCCTGCTGCTCTCGTTGACCAGTCTCTGTAGATTCTGAGAGGTCTCTTCTGGCAAGATCTCATTTAGCCCAGACTGGCACTACCTAGAAGCCCTGATTCTCCTCTCCTCTGGCCTCCAGGACTAGGGTTACCGTGTGGCACCCACTTAGTCCTTTCAGGGGCAGGCGCCAACGAGACGGTGGAATAGGTGAAGGAGATGGAGGCACACGGGATGTCAGTCACAAGGCAGAAGGAAGCAGAAGGAAGGATCCCTGCCTTGAGAGACCTTACTTGCGAACAGCATGAGACTTACGGCTGCATTCTTCTGGAAGGTCCTCTGGGGGAAGAGCAAACAAGGAACAGTCAGAGTGCGTGCGAGCCTAGGGCTAAAGCTAGACCGGCTAACCCACAGGCTGAAGAGCGGTGCGGGGCTTTCAGCCCCTGTCAGTCAGGGCAGTGTCTCTGCTCTTGCTGGCCCGGACAGGAGAGGGACGGTGATGTCATCAGTGAGGCTTTGCGTATTCTCTTTCCACCCAGGTGGAAAATTCTTAAAACACCTTTTGAGATTCCTAACATGGTGGCCTATGTGCCCTGGTCATCTGCATTCTCTCCAAACCCTCTTTCCCTACCTGAACCACCCGAAAGCTCTTCTTTCCCACACCTGTTCATTATGCTTGCTAAAGCCACTGATTTCTCTAAATCCTTTAGTGTCAGCTGCTTCCTTTTTACCCACAACTCACAGGAAAGCTAGAAGAAATAAAAGTAGCAATACAATTTTCATGGATACGTTACAATATCTCAAAGGTATTTACACACAGGAGACCTGGTGGTTCTTAGGAGACCTTGGGCCACTGACAAAAACACCCCGCCCTCTCGAATTTCCAAGGCTGCAGGTATGAGAGCGTAAAGAGCACGGATGGAGGCAGCCTTGATTCGGGGTTACAGTGTGTGCCACAAGCCAGTTGATGATGGATTTTATTCATTTGCCAGAAGCAGAGTAGGAGCAGAGTTGAGGGTGGCTGCAGAGGTCACAGTGGTTGTCATCTGTGGGATGCTGTCCTGCCCCAGCACACTGTTTCCTTCGGGTGCTCGGGGCTGCACACACCACACAGCAGGGGCCAAAGGCTCAGTGTGTTTAAAGTGAACAGTGCCCCTCCTGAGGGCTTATCTGGAAAGTTCTCTCTCCCACTGTCAGTGTATCTGCATATCATCGCAGGCTCCCATCCTCTGTGGTCTGCAAGGCTCTCCTCAGCCCTCAGCGAGCTTCTGCCGTCCTTCTCTGGCGCTTGAGAAAATTCTTCTGGCTACAGACCACATGTTGACATGTTTCAGAGCACATCATGATGTTCAGTGAAGGTTTCCTTGCTTTTTCTTTCATTAAAAACATTATTTTGTGTGCATGAGTGCTTTGCCTGCGTGTGTATCTGTGTACTAGGTGTGTGCCTGGTGTCCACAGAGGCCCAGAGAGGCAGTGGATCCTCTGGAGCTGGAATTACATCTGTGAGCCTCCATGTGGGTGCTAGGAAGAGGACCCAGATCCTCTGCAAGAGCAGCATTTGCTCTTGACTGCTGAGCCATCTCTGCAGCCCCTCTCTTAACATGTGACTCCAGAGAATTCTTAGCAGCTACAAAGTAGGGGAAGCATAACACAGTGTTTAAACTATCATTTTGTGGCCAAAACCACCAAGGGGAGGAACAGGCCCTCTGAACGTTATTCAAGGGCAAGAAACACTAGAGAGAGAGAAAAAAGATATATGTAAGGGACTTACCATCGCCTGCTGCAATTTGCTCTAGAAAAAGAAAAAGAAAAAGACTGTGGTTAGATAAGGTTAGGTAGAAAGCAGATGAGCTGTTCTGCAAAGGCTCGTGCCGACAGCTGCCTTTCCAGATGGCACCGATCGGAGCACTCGGCACCACGCGGTCCTGGGACACCCTGCTGTGAGCGGCTGCTCCAACACCCACCCTCCTCCAGATTTAGCTGGGAGGAAGGGCTGCCCTGCTCCGTGCTTTCTGTGCAGGTTCTGCAGCTGAGAATCTTAGCTGCATCCTCTCCTTGCCTTCCTCCGTTCCTGCCCCGCCAGGCACGCAGGCTTCCTTTTCTTAGACATCCCTCTTTTATATTTGTGCTTACTTTTTAATCCTCCCTCCAATCCTATTGGCCATTTTCTTTGCTTTGGAAAACATCCGATAATTATTGACACTACTGAAATCATAAACCACAGTATGCAGCCTAATACCGATGTTAAGGATCCCCAGTTTTTAAAAACATGACTAGTCTTTAAGAAGGATGGTAACGCTGGAATTAAAGGCTGAGGAACAGGACTTGTAGACAGTTGGTGCTCAAGTCCTTATTTGTCACAGAAACTCACTTGTGATGAGTTTGTGCATATACGGGTGACTTACCAGTACCGCCAGGAGCGTGCACTGAAAAAAAAAATCAGAATAGGCATGTTACTGCGAGTATTTTTTGCTGAAGAATTTTTCTTGATTTTTATTCTAGGGGAGGCAGAGCAGGGGGAAGGGACAGCAGCGTGGCGACCATGGGGAACTAGCCTGTTTTGCTAATTATGAGCAGAAGTCGTGGGTAGCACTCACTGTGGGGGCTTGTGGACCCAGGGGACACTGGAGAATGACAGAACTGTGCCTCTCTGCCCACGAGTAGCAGGGGCAGAGACCGCTGGGCTGCACGAGGGACTGAATAAACTCTTCCTTCTCACCGGCTGTGTCCCAGGGTCACACAGGCACAGTAGATGAGGACCAGCATGTCCCTCTCCCAGCTCCCGGCTCTTTGGGGACTAGGAGAGGTGGCTGCTGTCTGGATTTGATTCTCTTCAGAGTATGAGCAAAGGGTCAATGGGGCCCCTGCTCTCAACGGTGGACTGGCCTTCCATCCATGATGCCGAGGCCAAGCGGGGGCTGCACACCTGTTTCCTCACCTGCAAAGCAGCTTGTGCAGCAATGAGCCTTGGGGGTGACATGCATACAGAATGGAGGACTACAGACACCCCTTCAGAAGCTTCAGCCATGCTCCTTGTGGGACTCCTGGAGATTCTAAGGAGTGTGTGTGTGTGTGTGTGTGTGTGTGTGTGTGTGTGTGTGTGTGTTCCAGGGCAGGGATGCTCCCAAGTGGTTTGTTGGAACACAGAAGAGGTGGCTTTTGAGCCTTGTGGAGACCATTTCAAGGACAACTCTCAAGAAGGGGCTCGGCTGCTGCGGTCCTGTTGGCTGGCAGCTTTCTCCTGCTGAGGACAGACGGAGGAGGCTGGCGGCAGATGGACACACAGTCAGGGCCACCTAAAAGACCCCAGTGGTACTGTGGCCACTTTCTTTTCCACCTTGCCTCAGGCCGAGGTGCCCATGGTGGAAAATGTCTGGGGCTCATTCACCTAAAGATGGCTTTCCCGATCTAGACACCCTGGGCTACAAGCAGTTAGGCAAGCTAGAATTTGGGGTATTTTACAACATAATTTAGCATTTCTCTCCTCTCTCTCTCTCTCTCTCTCTCTCTGTGTGTGTGTGTGTGTATGTGTGTGTGTGTGTGCCATTGTTCTTGCAGAGCTCTAAGATATCTGCTCTGTTAATGCCAGCTAACAATTCCTTGGACACATGATCATTTTACTTTTTTGTTTTCGGTTTTTGTTTTTGTTTTCTCTATTTTCCTCCCTCTTCCATCCTCATGCCATCGTGAGCACCCTTCCTTCTCTTTCCTTCTCACTGTAGTTAGTCTCCTGTCTTCTCCTGGCTGCTGCTTTCCCTTAATCTTCTTCCTACTTTCTCTTCCTTTTATTTTCTTTTCTTTTTATCTGGTTAACTATCATCTTTGTTCTCTTTCACTTCTTTGTGCTTTTCCCCCTTCTCTTTGTTTAGCCCTTTTCTCCCTTCAATTCAGCATGTTCCATAACCCGAGCGTAACACCCAAAAATGGTAGCAGAAGGGCTAAGGGTCAATACAACTTGAGTCGTCACTTCATTAAGGACAACTGTGATGCCTCCTCCACTCATCATTAGTCTTCATTGTAGGTCCACGAAAGTAATGTCAGTGACAAGGAGACATCACAGAGTTCACCAGTGATGTCTTGTTGGGACAGTCACATGAATCTAGAGGGGCCTCAAGTCTTATTTCTTTGGTTGTATAATTAAAAAATAAATCTTAATTTTTGTTAGTAAGATTATAAAACATAACGTGAGAGAAACAGTTTTTGTGTAGCTAGGACTCAGTTTAGAAAGCTACAAAATGAACAATTTTATCTTGGCACCTAGCCATTACTTATGTGGTGTCTGTGGAAAAATGTCTATCAGGGAAGTTGCCACGGAAGCTGGTGATAACAGAACTCGACTGTACTGAGAAAAGTCGTCAGAGAGATTAGAAGTCAAAAGAAGCTTCTGTTTATGTCACTTACAAGATGAACAAATGCGTGGAAGGCGCCTCGACGCCATATTGGAGCTATTGTGTGTCGGCTCTAGCGGGCGGGTTAGGACAAGGGGGTCAGCCCACAGGCTTATACGCCACCCTGTGCTCCGCTCTCATAGTCACTAGCTCCTTACTGTTGAAGCTGGCTCAGTGCCACCTAGAGGAGGGATAGTCAAGCGGCGGCAGAGCCCGGCCTGTGGCTCTGTGGTGCGATCATTGACATGAGAACGGACTGCTAGCCTGAGTCTCTCAGGGTCCAGAAGTACAACCGAGACTTAGGGCACTTACTGAAGGTCCTTTGAGACATCTCTGGAAAGAAGCAGAACAGAATGGAATAAGGAGGGGATGGAGTCCGTAGGCCTCCTGGGCCCTGTGTACCCTTGCCCTCAGCTACAAGCCTTCTCTGGTGGGGTCTGAACTGCAAACCTGAGGTAGGCTGCGGCCAGCTGGTCCTGCTGTAAGTGCGAGAACAAGCTCAGGCCGAGGAAAGCCCTTTGTCCACCAGTGCCCCTGAGACGCGGGTGGCAGAGGCTCCATGTAAACCCCAGTGGAGGATGAGACAAACCCTCCCTGCCGCAGCCTCCATCTCCCCCTGGCACTGACCTCCCTCATGCCCTTGTTAAAAGCCCCTTGAGTGGGCCAGTCGCCCCTGGAATCTTTCTACAAAGGTGTGCCAGGTTTGCCAGTGAACACAGCTCACAGCTGACTCACTGAAATGCCAGGTGGAGGAAAACCAAAAAGGCCAAGAAAAAGGCCCAGCCAGACCTTTGAAATTCCCCCATGGAGGCAAGAAAAGGCCCTTTAGCTACTATAGAAAAAGAGCGAGCTCCCCAGTGGAGAATGGATAAGCAACTTACTGATAGGTCCCGTAGATCCAGCTAGAGAGAGGGGGAGAGAGAGGGACAGATCATTATGCTTAATCGGTGTGAAGGAAGTACATGAACACGCGTCTCTCAGCATTCACTGTAGAGGGACTATCATGCATGGACATACCGGGAAGACCAAGGGTGGCGAGCCCCAGACAGCCTTCCTATCGTGCCACCCACGGGACCTTTAAGAGAGAGGCTTCTCTGTGTTGTGTGGTGACTCGGCCTTAGGCAACTGAGAACGACCCACTCCGTGTTATAATGTGGAGTCTGTAATGCACATGTTTTTCTTCTTGCGTTTCCTTAGAGAGAACTGCCTGAGAAGTAGACTCTCCCTTTCTGAGGGGCGTTTGCGCTGCCCCCTCCTAGGTGGGGCCCTTCTTTTGGATTTTTACTAAGTAAGTGTGTGGGATTTGAGGTCACACCACATCATGCACAGCCGCTTTGGAAACCGTATTGATACAGCTGGGAAACACGGCCCCCAGAAGTGGGGTCCACACCCACCCTGCAGGTTGGCTATGGGAGGGCTGGAGCGATACTTACGGATGGGCGCAGAGAACTGCACTGCAATGTGAAGAAGAGGACATTCAGTGTGGCTTGGCTGCAGACTCTGCCTGCTACCAATATTTCCCCAAAGAAATCACAACCAACCAGAGGGGAAAGGGTTAAGACTAAGATGGCAGGTAACTTAGAAGAGAATCTCACAAGTTCCCATCAGAACAAGTTACTCAGGACCCATCCTAACTGAGAAGCAAGTAAAGAAAAAAAGTAAAATAGCAAGAAAATAGAAATGTAGGAACTCTTTAAGTTTCCTTAAACCCAGTGTTATCTCAGGGCATTTTGACATCAGGAGATGTCCTGAGCTCTAAATGCAATCATAAAATGTGCATGGAAAAGTCTTCAGGAATGGGAGTTGGGACAGATGGGGTCCTGAGAGAGGAGGGTCCCAAACCCCATAGAAGGACAAAGAGGTAAAAAGGAACTCACTTATAGGTCCAATGGTTCTAGCTAAAATTTTGGAAAAACAAACAAAATCAGTTAGTTCTCTAGCAGAGGAAATGCAGTCTCCATCAAGATTCTGTCTGAGAAAGTCAGAAACAGACAGCAACCATGGTGTTTGCACTTCAATGGGCAGGGCTAGCTGGGGTCAGCCCCCTCCTGTGGATAGCACACCAACACCTTCCTTTTGGCTGGCTGGCCTGACCTGGTTAGCTAGGGTCTATGCCCTCATCTTCCAAAGCAGATGATGGGGTGCGTATCTTAGGGATGACTTAGGTCCTTGTTGGCCAGAGCTTGGCTCGCCATAATAGCGCCGTGAGACTGAAGACATTCTAGGTAGGGATTGTGGGTGAAGGAATTAAGACCTTAGACTCCTGTGCTCAGCAAAATAGCATTCTCTTGTGCAGGGTTTGACTCAGGAGCCCCAACTCTTGACATTGATTTTCCTCTTTCCTTCAGGATTAACTTGTTCTAGGTGTGAGTGGCCTCAGAAGTGGCAGGCAGGTGTGTTAACAGATACACTGAGGCCTGAGGAGTTTCACTTTTCTTGTCATTATTAACTCACAGGTGGAGACTGTGCACAGGTGGGAAAATGGATCCACTCTGGGTCAACCCCGCTCAGTGCTTGTTTCCTTCCTAAGAGCAGAAGATCCAGATCCTCTAGCGCGATGAGACTTAAGTGTTAGCATGTGCATGTTTCACCTAGTGACCTTGACAGACCCATGTCTGACTAACAGACGAGGGCTGGGCACCAGGCTGAGGTCTGGCCTCTCCAGCAGAGGCCAAGATGACGGCCATGCTGATTCTCAGGCCACTCCAAGCCCCGAGGCTGCAGAGGTAAAGTCTCCCATGAAGAGTCATGCACATCTCTCCGTCTGCATCGTGCAGGTTCCTGACAGACGGTTGCTATAGTGCTGTCTGCAATACCGTCTAGGCCCATCTTCAACACTTATGCCTACATGCACGCCCTTCACTCATTCCACAGACAGTGAGGGGACCCTCATTCCACAGGCTGGGGCACGCCTAGCGTCACAGAAGCCACCTCCCGCAAGGGGGACGCCATGTTGCTATTCTCCCACGAGTGATTCTGGAGTGTGAAGTCGAGGGACAGTCCTACTTTCTGTCTGTTCCTTAACATTTCTCCCTCTGCAGCTGGAACTGCAGGTTTAGGAGGGCAGAGGAGCAGCAAGGGAAAGCATGGGCAGTGTTTGTAGGAGGAAATAGAGATTCCAGACTGTGAAGAGTCATAACTATGCTTTGCAGTGAGGCAAAGAGTCTGAGGATCAAAGTGCAGAGAGGAACTTACTGATGTGTCCGCCATGGTGAGCTAAAACAAAAAACACAAGACCGTAAGTGTGGGAGGAGCACAACTTAGGGACGTTTGTTCTGGGGGGTTTCGAGCCAAGTGTTCTCGAAGACCCCCATGTAGGAGGCTCCGGGAAGTCAAGGCGTTGCCTTTGTCATCTAGGAGGCCGCTGCCACCTTCTGACATTGTTGGGCTTAGTCTGTTTTTGAAGTGCTTCATTCGGGCCCCAGAATTCGTCTCAACATGAATGAATGAACTTGTGCTTTTGTTTGCAGACTCTTCACGGTGTTGCATAAAGCAGTGGAACTGTTACTTGAGGGTCTTGAAAGGAGGGTAGGGCTCCACATGGAGGGACAGCAAGAACCAAATGGCTTCCTCCATCCGAGTGTGTCTCCTTGCCTCTCTTCCCAAGTCACCCCAGAACAGGCACTGCGTAGCAGACCCCAAGAGTTAAATTCCAGATCAGAGAAACTTACGCATCGGCTCTGCCAGGGACCTGTTGCTTCCTGTTCTATCTGTAACAGAAACCAAGATCATTCCTGAAAGCCAAAACTGGTCAACTGCATTTTAGGTGCCCACCCCAATAAATACATTTACAGCTCAATGCTGACACTTAAGGCTCAGGAAACACTGGGAACATCAGGGAACAAGGGCCGGAGAGACTGTCAGGGCCAGAGGACCAATACAGCTTTCCTTTCTCAAAGGAAAGGATGGGGGATAGGTGGATCTGGAAAGAAGTGGAAGTGAATATGAGCAAGATACATGATATAAAATTCTCTAAATGTTCATAAAAATATTACCAAGGTCAGAACTGTGATCTCACGATTCCCACAACAGAGGGCCAGTGGTGGTGCATGCCGGCAGCCAGTGCTCAGAGAACTTGGGTCGAAGCTAGCCTGGGCTACATAGTCAGACCCATCACACACTGCTTACCCTCAGATGTTAGTCTTTATTATAAGACACGTTAACTGAACACAGAAGAGAAATGAGGGAGGAATCCTGCATCCTTAGGCATGGAGGGGATCCCTGACCTTGATTTCCATATGTGACAGATCTAGAGAGAGAATCCGTAGGTTTGTTCTATAGATGTAGGCAGAGAGGAGGGCACAGCCTTAATCACAGCCAAGAGAGGTAGGAGGGTTCTTTTTATGATTAAAGGAAAATTCAAGTCAACAGTTTGGAAAATCTTGAATTCATAGCAGGATGAATGAAGCTAGTCCCTCATGCAGGAACAGAATGCAAGAATAAAGGTAATAATTAACAGTAGATAGTAATAGTTATCACACAGAAGGCAAGAATAAAGTTAACAGTAGCAATAGTAAACACAGAGTGCAAGAATGAAGACACATCTTGAAATATTTTTACTTAGCAACAAGTATCAAAACAGAAGATTTTGTCAACAATAACAAAAATAATGATCAAGAAAAATAAAAAAAAGCGCTGAAGGAAAATAATTTTCCATTCTGTAGTCAGTGAAACTCATGAGAACAAGTGTGGAGTCAGGTAGGTTCAACCACAGAAAAGTTTGAAAAACAATTGCTCACATACAGGACTTAGACCAACCGTGTAAGAGACACAGATCAAAGACAGAAGCAGTTCTGTGGGTTTAGTGTCATTCTGAGGGACAGTCTGGGAGGTGGCCACTTAGAGATTACTGTCTAGAAGAAAAGGCTGATTGTCTCCTTAAAAAAAAAAAACAAACAGCAATATTTAGAGAGAATGGACATTACAAATTTAAGGCAAAGAAAAGAAATCCAGCCAAAAAGCAAAGGCAACCACGGCACAGAAAATGAAGGCCTGGGGCAGGGGCTCTTAGGCTCACCACAAGATCTGGCCTCTAAACAACAAGAGAAAAGGGATCCCCATATTATTTCCAGATCCGCCTCCAGAAGCAAATTTAAACGTCGCTTGGAGTAAGGCTTTTCTGTAGAAACGTAACCTTTCCACAAATAAGGTACTGCTTGAGGCAGTAGCTCTGTGGTACCCAGGTAAGAAAAACCAGGGAAAGCAGAGACTTGGAAAACTTGACAGGTTGTGTTACTGGGCTCTGTGCTGGGGTGGGGGAGGAGCCAGCCAAGGGGCAGCATAAGAGAGATGGAGGAGACACTGGGAAAACTAGAGAAAAACACTGTATCTTTATAAGTTGTGATTTTATTCCACAACTGAAGACATAAAATTACATTTTTGTATATTTCAATGTGACAGTTGTGAGGAAAATGCAAATTACAGGGATGCCTTAAAAAAAGACAGCATTTCAGTACAAAAATTATAAAATAAACGATTCTATAAAATTGCGTTCACTGGCAGACTGTGCAAGTGTTACAAGCAGACAGCAAAGACCATCAAGACACCAAAGTCTTTGAGAGAGGGTGGGGTGGAGGGACTGTAACGGGTAAGAGGAATCTTGCTTGAGAAACAGGACAAAAGTTAGCAATTGCCAGGAGGGAGTTTACACACAGTGATGGTAGGCCCACACCGGAAGGTGTGCACACACACTGATGCTGTGTTTCCACACTGAGGTGTGCACACACTGAGGAAGCTGTGTTTGCACATGGAGGGTGTGCACGCTGGGTCCGTGTATGTCCACAGCAGGCGCCTGTGTAATTGAGGATCTTGACACGATGGGGCTGATGTATACACAGTGTTAGTTCTTTCTGTGTCTCATTCTAAAAACACTTAAGGAGAAGAAGAAGAAGGAGGAGGAGGAGGAGGAGGAGGAGGAGGAGGAGGAGGAGAAGAAGAAGAAGAAGAAGAAGAAGAAGAAGAAGAAGAAGAAGAAGAAGAAGAAGAAGAAGAAGAAGAAGAAGAAGAAGGGGAGCCTAAGAAGAACAGGGCTTGCAAAGCAGAACATGGCAGGATGGGAAACAAGCCGAGGACACTCACCCAGGGAGCCGGCTGACTGTGCTCCCAGGGAGAAGGCTGGTTGAACTCTCAGAGAAGTAGCAGATGCTGCCAAAACACATATACAGAAAATCAAGAGGTCAGTCAGGAGAATTTGGGCCCAGCCTTTGCCTGTTAACTTCTGCAGCTGTCCCTTCTCAGGAGCTGAGCCCAGCCCTGACTGACTAGTCTCCTTCCCCCGTCCAGCCAGCCCTTTCCGTTCAACCCTTTAAAGGGTCTAACTTTCAGTAGACAAATGCTGGGGCCTGAGGCTCTGTTTGCTTTGGTGATGGTAACTGAGCTTAGAGCCTGTACTGGATTGTTTTATGTCAACTTGACACTGGCTAAGTCACTGGGGAGCAGAGAGCCGCAGCTGAGAAAATGCCTCCAAAAGGTCCAGCCACAGGCAGGCTTGTGTTAATTACTGATCCATGGAGGAGGGCCCAGCCCATTGTGGGCGGTGTCATCCCTGGGCTGCTGGTCCTGGGTTCTATAAGAGAGCAGTCTGAGCAGCCATGGGAGCAGGCCAGTAAGCAGCTCTTTCAGTGGCCTCTGCATCAGCTCCTGCCTCCAGGTTCCTGCCCTGCCTGAGTTCCTGTCCTGACTTGCTTCAGTGATGAACAGTGATGTGGGAGGTTAAGCTGAACAGACCATTTTCTCCCCAGGTTGCTTTAGCCAGGGGGGTTTTCATTACAGCCACAGAGCCCCTAACAGGGCCTTACATGCTATAAGCCAGCCCTATATTCCCAGCAGGTGTCACTGTAAAACCTGGAGACTGTGTCTCCTGCTGTCCCCTCCTCCCACCCCACTCTGCCCCTTTCTCTGGTTCATTGGGTTTCTTTCCCCTCTTCTTCTAGGTGATTTGTGGCTAAGACTGTTCTAAATTAGCATTGGGAGAGCAGACGATTCGAACATTCGGGAGTTTGTCTTTCCACAAACACAACCCAAGGAAGGTGCTGGACTGGAACCAAGTTTCAGCAGAGAAGCAGAAGGCGACAAGACTTACTGATACATCCTTTGGACACCTCTGAAAGCACACACAGAAAAAAAAAAACAAAGAAAAGTCGGTTTTAGCTTTTGCAATGTTCGTATCAGTGCAGACGGCCACCCAAACACCATCATCAGAGAGAGGCAACATCATCAGAGAGAGGCACCGTCTGTTCACGACTAACTTACCAGTTAAATAAACAAGCGAGAGGAGGTGAGCCAAAGCAAGGAAGTTGTAGATGAGCGAAAGGGATGGAGACATTACACAAGGATACAGTAATTATAACAGGAGTTTAGGGAGAGCAGGAGGGGGCTGGTAAAATCGTTTCTTGGCTGCCTGAGAATTTAGGTTGCAAAGGAACCTCAACCTTTCACTGCACATGCATATGGTGGAATCATTGGGTGTCCTTGCTGTGAGCTCACATTTATGCTTTAGTGATGCCAAAGCAATACAACCCCTAAAGCATCTGGAGACAGGCAAAGCAGACCCCGGCACCCTCCCCTCCCCCCTCATGACTCCTGACTTGCATGGCCCCTGCTGTCCATCTGTCCTGACAGCTGCTGGCAGCAGGGCATTTGGTCTTGTGGTTTAGCTGGCTAATCCAGAAGTGCCAAAGCCAGTCTTAGCTCCTCTCCTGAAAACGGGCCGCTGTGGCCCTTCTACAGGTGCTGTCTGTTGCCGGGACAAAAACCATGACCAAAAGCCTCTTAGGGAGGAACATGCTTGTTTCATCCTGTGGCTTTCCTGTCATCATGAAGGAGAGTTAGGGCAGGAAAGCAGGGAGGAACCTGGAAGCCAGAACTGAAGCTGGGGCCACCACCCACTGGGCTGGACCCTCCCTCATCAGTCATCAGTGAGGAGAGCGCCCCACAGACTTGTCCGCAGAGCCTCTGATGGAGGCGTCTTCTCAGCCCAGAGTGTTAAGTTGTCAAAACAAACACACACACTAACCAGACAGATGCCATTATAGGGGAAGTTAAGTCCAAAGCACATGGCAATGTTTTTTTAACACCATTACTTCTCACAGCGTGATGTGTGCATGTGTGTGGTGCGTTTGTGTGTGTGAGTGTGCATGTGTGTGGTGCGTTTGTGTGTGTGTGAGTGTGCATGTGTGAACGTAAGCTTGTGAGCGCCTGTGCATGAGTGTGTGCCTGGCCAGAGGTCAGCATTGCTATCTTTCCCACTCACTCTCACCTTATTTCATTTCTTTGGCAGTGCTGGGGTCCACTCCAGGGGCCTGAGCCTGCAATCGCTCTGCCACGGGGCTGCACTGCCTGTCCCACCCCTTCCCTTAGCTCTGAGAGAGTCAGCTGCTGCCCTTGGAGCTCATCAGCATGGCTTGCGCTGGCCTGTGAGCTCTGGGCATCAAGCCTTGTCTGCCTCTGACTTCGCTGCCTCCGTCCTTGGCTTTACGTGGGTGCCAAGGAACCGAACTCAGGGCCGATGTGCATTTATGTTTGAAATTTATTATAAAATAGAGCACTTAGGTGCTGCATGTACGTTTTCCTATAATACCAGGCATCATTCCATTAAGTTTCAAGAATGTTTAGGTTGTCATAGCAACCGTATCACATCTGTGGTTAGTTTAAATCGCGCTAAGCTTTAACCACTGCATTGTGTGCACCTAAACTAACTTTGTGTCTCAGGCTGCTGGAAATCTTCCTTAGTCTCAATTAACTGACTGATATGTTTATGTCCCAACATGATAAAAGGGAGCTCTCCAGGGCTTGGGCCCCCAGAAACTTAGGATGGTTGGGATTTATTGGGCCACCTTAGGGGTGATGGTGAAGTCTAGTCTTTACAAGGTTTACATTTTGGCTGATCCACACATCAGTAAAATATCTGGTTTAACCAAGAATGCGGACATCCACAGCCAGGATGAACAACAAGACAGTGCGGAATGTAAAGTCATGGCCAAGCAATTGTGCCTGCACCGAGCCATCTGTGAGCTCGTTGTGCTGGAGAGGACATTCACGTTTCTCCTGAGTCAGTTCCTCTTCTGTACATCAGGAGAGACCATGTCGGGAAATAAGGTGTTTTATGTCAGCACTGACCACTGAGGGCCTCCGATGGCGATGAGATCAGGCTGCAAGAGAGGAGGAAGGACCAGGCAGGAGGCAGATGGAGGAGTCCAGGAAGGAAACACTTGTTCTTGGGCTGAGGCTGTTAATGGCGGTGGAAAGCCACCTGATTTTTGAGTGAAGTTTCAAAGCATCGGCGACGGGATGCCCTGGTGGGCCAGGTGCAGAGAGTAAGAGAGACAGACTCAGAAGAGGCCCAGGATGGTGGAAATGTGCAGCTGGCTGGATGCAGGCCGCGTCCTGTGGGAGAAGGGGTCAGAACTTTGCTTCTAAGCAGGGCTGTGTGAGCATCTTCAGAGCAGCTGTGTGAGGCAGCTCCAGGTGCTCAGGCAGAGAACAGTGAGAGGGGAAACCCCGCCCCACGCTCCCCCTGTGGGGCTGCATGAGCCTGGAGGATCCCACTGTCCTCTGTAAGGCAGTGGCCTGTGGTGGCAGGGGCAGCTCACCCACGCATGGCTGTCTGAGCTGCTCGTACAGACAAGAGGAGGAATGCCCAGGGGAGGAGCCAGCACACAGTGGGCGCCCAGTTCATGTTGATTCTCCTCACGTCTATTGCATCTTTATGAAGCATTAAATCAGTTCACTTGTGTGTGGGACCGGACTTCTGATGGATTTTGCAAATAGCCGATTCCCTTCTTTATTGGACTGGAGCTGCTTCCAGATGCTGCCCTCTGGCAGACGCTTAGGAAGCCACTCAGAGTGCTGGTTTAAGGAGTCCTAGCGAAGGTGCCTGGAGTGGCTGGTGAGAAGTATTCCTGAAGGTCTGTGGAGCATCTTCAGGCAGCTCGCTCTCCAGTGGCTCAGGGTGGCAGTCACATTTGTAGGTAGGAGAGGAAAGAGTCGAATCTGCTGGGCAGCGTTTCTCATGGACAGAGGACGTGGTCACTCATTCTGTGTGCCCAAATGATGGCCTTAGGGGCTTTGAGTTTGTCCAGGTGGGGAAGGGCATATGGTAAGTGGGAGCTGTCAATATTTTAATGCCTTTATCCTAAAATATCCTGCAGGGTTCTCCAGGATGTCAGTCTAAGCTGCTCGGCAGAGGAGGGCAAGGCTCTTGGTCTCAGTGCTGCCGTGTCTCCCATCACTCTTGTGAGCCGATTGGAGGACAGGTAGGAGAAGGTTTGGTGGGCTGGCTTCAAAGCCAGTTCACAGCAGGAACCCAACAGTCCTGAGTATTTGCCAGACTTCCCTGAACATGGTTTGCTTTCTGGCCTTTTCCCGAGGGTGGGCCTGGCAGTTTGGGTTTCAAGTGTTTCCCACAACCTTCTGAGCTTAGAGCTTAGTCCTCAGGGCATCCATGCTCAGAGATGGCATCCTCGGGGGCTGGTTGGACTATGCTGGGCTGTTTCTTGGCATCCAGCAGAGACTGGTCCAAAGTAGCCCCCAGCCGAGCTCTGAAAGCAGGAGCTGTTACGAAGCTTTCTCAGCCTATTTTATCACGTGGTGGGAATCTGAGGGGAAACTGGTAACAGGGCAGGCATCCTTGCTGTGGCTCGGAAGGCCTTGCAAGAGTTTGAGGAGGAAAAGTATAAGGAACAGGCCAGGAAAGCTTGGGTGTTGTGAATGGAGCTTTGTGGGCAGCTGAGCCTGAGTTCAGCAGGGTTCTATGAGATTCTGGGCAGTAGGGATGGTCTTAGGCTTCTGAATTACAGAATTAGACTTCTGGGCTTTGTCCTCTCGGTCTTCTCTTTTACAGTGGGCAGATGGGGCTGAGTTGAAAGACAAGAGCTACTGATTTGGGAGTTTCACAGCCCCACACTCTTCAGGTGGTAGCCTGGCTATTTCTGGCTGCTGTGGGCAGCTTCATGGTGAGCATTGTGAGTGGAAAACATTGGGAAGATTTGAAAAGTGCCCTTTGGCCAGAAAAGGATTGCTGAAGAGTTTAGAATCCTTGCAAAGAGACTGCCTACTTTTTGTCAGGACAATATGAAGTTGGCAGACTTCCCCTACAGCGGAATCACAAGTGCTGCAGTTTGAATTTGTAAGACTCCCAGAGCTGCCTGGGGATTATTTTGACAGGATTCATTTCCTAGGTCAATCACCCAGGAGCTCAGAGGCCACCAAGGCAATGCACCATGGGAGAGTGCTGTTCCCACAGCAGCTGTGCGAGGCAGTTTTGCAAGCATGTAGAGTGTAAGGGCCAGGACTAGGGGCCGTGTGGAACAGGTGAAAGTGAAACTAAAGATGCGAGGGAGACCCTAAGAAGCTGAGGCTGTGGAGACTGTGGAGCCCCTGCGGAGGGAGGGAAAGCAGAGTTGGTGAGTGGAGTCCCCGGGTGCTCCACTGAGCAGGGTGGCTGGTGCTTGCTCTGCTGGGCTCAGGACCGCGCCCCACACTGCTGCATCTGGAGCTTAGCGAGTTGTTTGCTCTGAGTTTCGAAGATGCCCGGAGCTGAAAATTTGCCTCAAGCCTCGGAGGAAACATGGGACGTGGGTGTTTGACCTACTCTGGAAGGGTTGAGACTTCGGTGACCGTTGGAGAGGACCTAGATGCATTTTATACTGTGGGACACAGGTGAGCCTGAGGTTTGGAAGATCACAGTTAAGACTGTGTCCCAGGGCAGTGTCCGGAGGAGGGGTCTGAGGGTGGTGGCTGGCTCATGAGCACTCTCGCCTCATGACTGGACTGATTTCTTTATGAACCCATTGGATTAACGGGCTTTGGGCCAGAGACTGTTCTGGAAGTGAGTGTTCTCCGCCTTCCACCCCTATGCACTCCTGCCATGGCATGTTCCTCGACACAGCTTCAAGCAAGGCGGTCAGCCTCTGAGCTAAGCCCTTTCTTTTACAGGCGGTTCCTCTAGGTGTTTTGTCACATGACGAGCGACACAGGAGCCTTACAGATCCTCATGGCAGGAGGAAAAGGATTGGTCCCTTCCAACACATACATATGTATACCTCAGTCATCACATGGAATGTCTAGAGGACTGAAGAAAAATGTAAGGTTCCTAACACCCTCTAAACAGGTGGACACATTCACTTCTTACAAGCCAGGGTCTAATGTACTTACTGCTTCCTGTTGAAAACGAGCTCCGGGACCCTGAAAGAAGTGAAACACAATGAGACTCCGCATGGGCTGTACGTCTGTGCTGCATAGTAAATGGAATTTTTTTACCTCCTCTCATTCTTTTACTTCTTGCACTGGAAAAACCTTGTGTGAAAGAAGGAGAGAACAGACTGAATCACCAATATCTCATCAAGAAGTGGATTTACCACCAGCCCACCTCCCTAAGGGCTGTGCCACTTTCCCAGCATTCTTATTCCTTTGTCTTTCGTTTCAGAAAATGAAGAGGGTTCAGAAGGTCTTTGCTCTTTACTCTTGCAATTTGAATCATAGAGATGGAGAGGAAGGAGCAGTGAGCAGAGATGGAGGGTTCTTGCAACAAACTGAGCTACCAGACTTTGCTCAACTCTGGGGTATTTGTGGTGCTCGTGCACGCTCGTGTGTGTGTGTGTGTGTGTGTGTGTGTGCGTGTGTATGTGTGCGTGCGTGTGATTGCTTCTATAATCCATAGCTTTGTTTAGCTATGGATTTAGTTGTAGATTGGTTGGCGGGCTCAATTTATTGGCCTCAAACAGGAATGAGAGGCAAGTGTACTGGCTCTTGATGGGGTTTGGATGTGACTATTGAGGACTAAGGAGGAGGGAAGAAGGCGCTGTGTCCCCTGGAACTGGAGTTGCAGACAGTTGTGAGCTGCCCTGTGGGTGCTGGGAATTGAACCTGGGTCCCCTGGAAGAGCAGCCAGTGCTCTTAACCACCAACCCATCTCTCCAGCCCCTTTCATTCTATTTTAAACAGCTCTGGAATTGTTTCATAAAGGTTCTTGTAAGATCTTGGGGGTGGGAGTAAGAAAGAGGTGGAAATTAATTATTTTAATGGTCTTAAGATGGAGCAATGTTTGCTCTTTTTGAGAGAGACACACAACTGTTTCTGCACTTGCATGTGCACAGAGAAACCGTAGAGAAAGGTGGTCGGAAGAGCGACAGCAAGCTCTGTGCTGCTTGTGCACATGATGCTGAAAGGGAGAAGGAGCTGGTGTTTCCACAAACAAACAAACAAACAAACAACAACAAAACCCCCGCCTTCTTCACCAATTGCCTGCAGTTCCTAATCTTTTTGTCCCTACCATCCTCATAGTCCAGAAGTCCGGCACCTAGAGAGAAAGCGGAGAGAGTACCATGATTGCGTTTCTCGATCATGTGCGGGGCCTTACTACACATGGAAGGGGTAATGTAGACAGGAATTTTCCGGGATGTGGGCTAACCGTGAAGGAACAGTTTAGGCTACTGGCTAGGTCAGGTGACCAGGATGGGCGCTCTCCCCCAGCTCCCGCTTCCCACCAGCAGCCTGGGCTAGCTTTCACAGACACTGCTGTCCTTCCCTTCCCTTCGCAGCATCCACTCTCACGATCCTGGCTATTAGAGCCTTCTGTCCGTCTGCCTAACAGAGACCCTCTTCAGAGCAAGACTTAGATCTTCCCCTGAACTAATGCCCAAGTGGTCTTCTGACCCCAAGGCTTGGTGTCTGCTAGCTGTGAGAGGAGCCTCACAGCACTGGTCCATTCTAGGAGGTCTCTGATAGGATTCCCTTACAAACTCGGAAGTGTAGTTCGAGGTGCGATACACTCCATCGAGTTCTGGAAGCACGCTGGTGAGCTAGACACACACAGAGAAGCCACACGCACCAGGCACTGCGTCATTCACGACATCAGGTACTCACTCTGTTCTGAAGTATATCTGGAGGCCTGCGCTGCTGCGGAAGGGTCAGGCAAATGTCTCTGTTAGCTATTTGAGAGAGGTGTTCTTCCTGAACCAACTTTCTGTCCTCTAAACCCCGCCCCCAGGGCAGTCCTCCTGAGGGGACTCTGAATTCTCTCTTTCCAGCACCTCTTTCCTGCCCTGTACACTGCCCTGTTCTCTTGGAGGGTTCCCAGGCGCTGAGGAGAGGAAATCTGGGGCACGCAAGCGACAAGGAGGAAATAGGACAGGTACTGAGGAGGCTCCTCCTGAGACGGACCTTAATCTCCTAAGCTCAATCCCATCCATTTATCTCCCCCCATCTCCCACAATGCCATTCACAGCCCTGGGTTCTTTCTGTTCCTTGTTAGGTGTTTGCTTTGGTCAGAATCTTGCTCACCCTCATTTTCAGACGAGAGCAGTTTCCTTTCACACAGACAGACTTCGTTCTAAACTGTCCTTATCCCTCTTGCTATGAGAGCAGTTTCCTTTCACACAGACAGACTTTGTTCTAAACTGTCCTTATTCCTCTTGCTACGAGAGCAGTTTCCTTTCACACAGACAGACTTCGTTCTAAACTGTCCTTATCCCTCTTGCTACGAGAGCAGTTTCCTTTCACACAGACAGACTTCGTTCTAAACTGCCCTTGTCCCTCTTGCTAGCCCGGACATTTTTCTTGGCAGTGCAGGGTTTCACACTGAGCAGAGTCGCGGGCAGGGAAAGATCTGTCACCTGTGTTGGCCTGCTCTGACACACTGACAGAGTCTGCTCTCTCTGGCTTCCCTCCCTCTGGGGCTCTCCTTGGGAGTTGTCGGCTACTCACCAGATTTCTGACACCTCGACCATCTCACCATCAGAAGAGTCAGAATAGCGAGGCCCAGCACAGACAGGGTGACACCCAAAATTATTTCTGAAAGAAAAGACACCTACAGGCTTGGGCCAGTCATGGACAGGGACAACTGCTGGCATCATGTAGCTCTGCCCCTCCCCGCTTCTTCCTCAACTCTTTAATCAACTTTGTTGTTTTCAGATGGGGTCTCACCTAGCCCACACTGGCTGTGTTCTGATTGTGGCTGAGGCCAGTGTTGGTTACTGACTCTGCCTTTGCCTTCCATGCTCGGGGATTACAGGCTGCACGGACAAGGCCAGCTTCTGGATTCATCTTCCTATTGTTTCTGTCATTCCTGCCACAGCCCAGTTTAGCCCTTACTCCTGTTCTCTTTGTTTTGTACTAAGGACTGTGGCGGCTCTAACCCTTTCTTTACGTGGGCAATCTGAGAGATACCCTCTGTGGTGGGGTCCTCCTCTCAGGCAGGAAAGGTTGGAGAGATCAGTGGTTTGGTAATGCAACCCTCTGAGGTGTGAGAAAAATATTGGGACTTCTATTTTTGTGTGTGCTTATAGTTTAACCTGTTATGCATACATTTCCCATTTTGATTAAAACATAAATATTAGTATATTTGTACATTTATGACATTTATATATAATATACAAACATGGAGAAAGCATACTCAATTTTTTTATTTGCATAGATGAGCAACCAAAAGTTTTGGAGGCCCTGGAAGGATGCTGTCTGAGGTAGTGATATTAATGTGAGTCATGAAAGGACAGACATTTCTTGTCAGTGAGGAAGACGCTGGGGTTGTTGTCCAGTGAGCCACAGGAGAAGGATATATGTGAACTATGTTACAGACCTGAGGAGGTAATATACACTATGTTTATATGACAGAGTTGTATTTGATATTTAGGATAGAGCAGAAAAGACAGGGAGAAACATTCATAGCAACTGCAAACCTGTGACAGTGAAATCTGAAGAATATCAAACTCTGGGTGACTAAGGAAGTAGATTACTCCACAGTCAGGGCTACTTGCAAAGAGCACTAGTGGGTTCCACATCACTGTGAACCCTCACCCCCCAAATCGGCAGACAGGACAAATGTCTTCTGGGTCTTTCCAGATGTCTGGCAAGGTGAGAAAATTCTGCTGCCAAACCCACCTTCAGAGATCTGCTGGGAATTCACCTCTAAAGTCATCAGCTTGTCTCCACCATGAGAGCCAGAAACTCTGGTCAAAGTGAGATAAGCTGGGATGGTGAGCTCAGAGGAAGACCCTGAAAGCAGCTGTCCCTTTGCTCGGTGTCCAAAGTGCTCCTGAGGGGGCATTTGGAAGGTGGATGTTCATCCCATGTGCAGGGGCTGGGTGGGTAGGAATGAAGTTGTCATTTCTCAGAGCTGAGGCAGATTGTGGAGTGAACAGTGCTGTAGGAAGGATGGTGGGGGTTGGGGGAGGACTATGGCCTGCCATCTGATGAGTTCAAACCTCATGGAACAAAGGAGAGGATTTCTCTAGAGCTGAGGTGACCAGGGGCAACTTTCCTTCATCTTTCCAGAGAAATGACTCAGAGTGGAAGAATGGAGAGTGATTGGACAGGAAACCAGGTAGGAAAGCCAGCCAGTTCTGTTAATGCCCCAAGACAAGGCTCTTGAGAAAGTAGCTGTCAAGAAAGTTTCAGAGAGAAGGCTGAATCTTACGCAGGAATGCCATCTTCTTCTTAGTGTCTTCAGTGAGTTCCTCTTCATCGGGGCTCTTTTCTCAGAGAGAGCTCAAGATAAAACATGTGCCGCAAGGCCACTGGACTCTGAGCTGTGGGAGCCCGAGTGTCAGGGGACCCTCGTAGACAAAGGTGCAGAGGGCCTCCCAGGAACTGTGTGGCTTAGGTTGATCAGCTCTGCACAGGATATGGCCTCTGAAGGTTCCAGAACTTGTGTCATAACAAAGTCTCAGAACGCCCAAGAAACAAGGGAAGTTCCTAGAGGTAAGGGCTTCTGAAGCCCAGATTTAAGGACCCATTGATGGATGTTGAACCCATATATAAAACTCACACTGTTGGTCTTTACAGTCTAGACTATTAACTGTCAAAGACCAGCTTTGACATGGACAAGGGAAAGACTGAGGAGATGTATGCAGAGTAGGATAAATTACTATTCAGACCTTTTTTTTTCTGAGGGTTTATGACTTAATTGCTTACGCTATCAAAAATCTTCTGGCTCTTTTACTCAGGGATGAACAGCAGAACCCCTGCATGGGTTCAGAGGCTCAGAGGCTCATTAACTCTTTTTGAGTCAGAGAGAGATACAGAGAGAGAGAGAGAAGGAAAATCCTGTTTCCCCACACATTCCATAGTTATCACCCATGCATACATACAGGCAAACAATCAGACATGCAGACATGCACACATTCATACACATTCGAGTGGCCCCATTGTGCACGCATGTCATGTGTAGATGCACAGATATCTATAATTTGTACGTATATATATTTATGCAGACCATCAGACATTCATACATATAAGCATACACAGACCATCAGGCAGACACACACATGTTTGGTGGATGATGGGTGGAGGGAAACTCCAATCAAGCAACAACCTTAGTTCTGTCCTGGGTTTTATACCCTCTGGGTCAAAGGTTCTCAATGTAACAAAAATTCCCTCATTCCGGAAGGGATCCAACCCTTACATGAAAGGCAGTTGCAGTGGGACCACTGACTAAGTTCTTTCATCGAACTCTATCTCACCAGATGCATTTGCTCACTATTAGCTTAAAGCAGTGCTCTTACCTATGCTCGGCATGAGTTCAAAGCCCTTTTGTCTTCTTCTTATTTCACATGTCCATTATGTGTTCAAGGGATAGTTTTCCCATCAAGGTCTTTCTAAGAAACTGCTGTCTGTCTTGTCTTGTACAGCTAACCACTTCTTCTCTGTTTCTGTAGTCATATGTATTATCCTGGTGTCCACCTGGGCCTTATCCTCGGACTAAACCGAGGATGAATGTTTCCTTGATTATTAATCTGTCTCGGTCTTGTTTTCCTTCTTGGTGTAACCACCACGGAGGTTCACAGAGCTCCTAACTGCTTTTCCTCTATTGCAGGAGGGTTTAACGTTTGACTCAATTCAGGAATCACTATCAGGAATCATAAAATCATCTGTAGGAAGCTGCCCAGCAGAGAGGGCAGCACCCATGGAGGAGTAACATTGTGCTGTAGGCAGTGAGGGTCTATTCCTGCTCAACTTCCTCATGCCAGGCGTGGGAGACAAGCCTGGGAAGGCGGTATAGCAACAATGAGCAGTCCTGAGGCAAAATCCCTTGGGGCTTTGTCTAAACCAGGGGCACACCCATTGGCCAGCCATGCAAAAGCCAGTGGGCTGCCTCCAGGAAGCTCACTTGCTTGCTTCTGCCAATCCAGCGTGCGAATTGCTCCCAATGTTTAACCCAAGAGCCTGCATCTAACTCACTTTGAGAACCTTCAGCAGCGTATGTGCTCTCCAAATGACTCATTGTTAAAAGGTGACAGTTTTATATTTAAAAATGAGAGTCTTCAGATGAAGGTGAACCAGGGAAGAAAGGTGCTGAGCCAGGAGACAGAGCCAGGAGGTAAAGTGTGAGGACCAAGCCTCCAAACGGGCTTCACACAGGTGTGTTGCTGTCAAAGTAATAAACAAATAATTAACAAACAACACTTCTTGCTGAAGACTCTTAGCCACAGACTGTGAAGGAGGCAGCTTACATACACACAAGCATTCTCCCAGTAATGTTAATCCCCTGGTAACCCTCACACCCCAGTAACCCTCACACCCAGTAACCCTCACACC